CGGCTCGGAGACGGCGCCCACCCGGGAAACCCACTCGGCGCCCCGAGGCGACGGTGAGGGGCGAGCTTACCGAAAGTGGACCTGCGGCCGGGTAAAGCCGCCTGCCTCGTCTGCAGGCTGTGGAGCACGCTGCTCTCAAAATGTCCGGCCGTCCACGAAGGCGGTATCTCGGGGGTCACGTAAGCGGGGTAGGGGCCGGTGTAGGACCCGTTAACGGAGCGTACCAAGGCGTTGCCGTACTGCTCCCGGCCCCCACCGCCCAGCAGCAGGGACCCCTGGTAGGCTCCGTCGCGGCCCGGGGGGCTGCTGCCCGGGGGGCTGTGCGAATAGGAGAAACCCGACGGTGGGTGAGGGCTGCCGGCGTTGAAAGCGGTGGCCTCGCCGCCGCTCTGACCCCAGCCCGGGGGGTTGGCGAGGTGGCTCTGGTGAGGCTCGCAGCCTTGTAGGTAAGGCAAGGTCTGGAGGACGGAGGGTACCCGGGTGGTGGGCACGTAGACGGGCGAGCCGGCCGAGGAGTGGAGAAAGTTGCTGGAGTCGTGGGAATAAGCCGACTGGCCATGGTTGGGGGCGAGGGCCAGACCCTGATACATGGTCCGTCCTCGGCGGCTGCTCAGGGCCCGGCCGGCTGCGCCCCGACGGTGCCGAGGGGCTCACTCAGAGGAACCTGGGGGGGGAAAAGCCGAGAACCGCGGGGTGAGACCCCGGCCCAGCCCGGGAGACCCCGGCCCGGGGCCCTTCGCACCCGAAAGCGCTTCTTCCCTGCCTCGAGCGGGGGCCGTCATTTGTAATTTGGTTTTTTTTTTCCTTTTAAACTTTCATCTGGGGAACCCCGCGGCGCCGGGCCGAGCCACGGCGAGAAATAACCTCCGCGAAACGGGCAGCGGCCCCGCGGGCACCTTCCCACCGCTTCCGAAGGGCCGAAAAATAACCAACAACATTTTTTTTTTTTTCTCCCCAAAGTGTTTTTCCCCAAGCCTTTTTTTTTCAACCGTCGGGCCTGAAGCGCTCCTTGGGACCTTGCTAGCTTGGAGGCGGCCCCTCGGGCGCCCGGGCATCCCCGGTGTCCCCCAGCCACCAAACGCTGCCGTTTTCTTGTTAAAAAGCGAAATAACCCT